GGCATCTGCATGCAAAGAGGCTGCACATGCGGCCCTTCGCAGCCGAAACATGGAGGAAGGACTAACGCACAATATCGTCTTGCTTCTTGTTCGCCAACGACCTAAGCCAACCATCCTCCGGCGCTCATGTCGTGCGATGCGCCGACGGCACGCCAGTGGTGCTATCTGGTCCCAAACTGCCTCTGCTAGCCATCGCTGTGGAGTTGAAAATGGTTCTCGCCTCACAAGTTGCATATTTTCACTTTTGTGGACTTCAGGTAATGCAAATGAATGGGAACTTCTGAGCCTCGCTTCCCATCGAAGCTTACGCACTCTCTCTTCCTTCTCTGTGAAATTTCGTGACTCTTTTGCCGTTTCTTTACCATGCCATAACACGACCAAGGCCAAGGGAGGGTTTTTACAAAGAAGGTGTTGTAAATATAATGCACTCTTTTTTCTGAGTTACACACATGCGAAGATTGCAGGCCATTTCGTGCAAAATATTTCAAGGTTACCCAGACATCCATGCCGCGATAAAAAGCATGCTGCCATTCAAATTCTATCATTTTACTGGTCATGTGGCGTTCAGGGTCTAGAAAATAACATTGTCAAGTCGTTCATATCTGGCGTTCATGAGCACGACTTCCCGATATAACGACCGTCAACCGACTGTCAACCAAGGCTGTAAAATGTATGCAAGATTCTAGCACGACTTTTAATTTTATTCTTTCTCCACTTAGCTTGATGCGTTTCGGCCCGTTCGGGCTATTTGACGCCTTTAAGAGAACTACTTGAAATCGGAAAGAAAGATATGAGATGATGCAAAAAGATACATACACATGAGATACATACAGCAAGAAATAATACAATGGAATAGAGAACCCTTCACGATATTTCAAGCACATCGGCACTTTAAGAAGCTTAAACAAAAGATCAAGGAGATGTGGATGGCCATTAGCTAAGAGGGCTTTTGACGATTACGCAACACTCTGATGACAATATGCCTCCAGTGCCTTTCGGTGCTGTTGAGATTCACCACATTCAAGAAGCATGTGTTTAATAAGAAGGGACGATCACACGGATAACATGGGGACGAGGGTGCTTCAAATATGAATAACTATGAGTGAGCTCTCCGCGTCCAATTTTAAGTCAATACCTTCCTTCCAAACGGTCCGTACAGCTTACTGACGGCCATGGTACAGTTTCTGGATTCATGTCATGTACTTGGCTCTTATTGTTTTGCTCCATGCCCATTGCGAAATTTGTTGTGGCAAAATGTGAATGGCCATTTCTATAGAAGCATGGTTAACAGGAATGAATGCAATGTGAGGGGCCATCACGGTTCCCTTGGTCATTTAGTCAGCCCGCTCATCTCCTGTGATTCCCCGATTACCAGGAACCCACAACATTTTCTGTCTTGATCTGGTGTGCGTAAAGAGCTTGTTATCCATATCATATCTATGAAAGCTTATTTCATCATATCTAATGCCTGCTTCAATACCATCAAATGTGGTGCATTGCCTTTAACGCTCTGCTGAGGGTCCAGTGCATATGGCTGACATTTCCTGGGAAAGGTATTGACCTGATATTTGATGGCAACGGCTCTGCCGCTAATTTTATGCTCTTCACAAACTACTGAGTTTTGTCGCTTGGGCTGTTTCCGGGCAAACAATGTCAACACTTATCGGACTTGCGAGGGAGAGCTTGGTTTAACGGATACACCAGACGTGGTGTATCTCCAGACACTTAAACATATTTATTAAGATATGTAAAGAAGACATTATGGTCAGGACACGTCTCTTTCGGTCCCCACATTAACATCTTTAAAACTACTGGGTTGTCTACCTGGTTATCAAACTAGTGACAGAACTACTGCGTGGGTATCAAGACCGGTCGGCGCTCAATGCCCCGACAAGATCTCAATTCATAAAAAGAAAGCCTCAACGTAGGTGGATCGGGGGTTTCGCCAAGGGAGAGGGTCCAGCTTCACTGTGGTGCCCCTGGGACTCAGTGCCCTTCCTGCCACCAAAAAAGGCATCGAATTTCAACCACTTCACTCTCATATTCTTATTTTGTTATTGGAAACTCCACCGGCGCTTCGTGGAGGGCAAGGCATAGAAGGTATTCATACATTATGAGTGGATTTTTTTGTTGGGTTTACGACCTTGGACATACCAAGAGGTACTGATCAAGCGACGATATAATGTTAAACGACGATTATATTGACGGTGCTCAATAGCTCAAACTATGCTCATCGCTATGGCAAGGCCACTCAACACTAGGTATTGCGCTCCGGGCCACTTAACCCAGGGCAATGAGTGCCAAGGCTGGATAAAATTGTTTCGTTACAATCAAAGATAGCTTTCCTTAGTATCATATTGCATCTAAATCAATGCCAAGAATTGAAAGTTTCCAGTCATATCAACGCTAATACAGCATTGATTTTTAGAAATTCAAAAAAGGCGGCGCTGGTTATCTGTGGCAGCGAGCCGAGGGTGACCTGGCAGCAATGCCAAAGGAGGTTATACTTTTTGGCATATAAGTTGGCGTATAGCAAACAACTGGGACTAGTTTCCATGGCAACGGCGTGGGGCGCCCTGTGAAGTGAGGATAATGAACAATAAGTTTGTCGGTATGCATCGTCTTGGGTTTGTCCATTTCACTTTCATGAATTGATGAATGTGCTGAGGGATGTCACAAGGTAACGTGTAAATGGTCATTTTGGCACTGCCACCTCCTTATAGGGACATCATGCAAAATGTTTTAAGATGTTTGAAATGTTTCAGAAGGTAATGTTCGAGTCGTCGTTTTGTGTTGGCTACGTTCTTTGAGCTTGACATTCTTGAAGTGCGAACGCCTACAATGCCACTCAACTTCCGCACGCTTGAACAGGCTGTTAATACGTTAAGATATTATATGTGTCTCCACAAATGTATATAGATGCTTCATTTGCTCATTCACACAGAAGGCAAAAGGGAAAGAAACTACGGCAGTAAGTTTTTAATGATTTCGAAGCGCAGGACATTCCAACTACATGACCTATCACAAATATAAAATCCGACCTAACCCACCACTTCATTCAGATCCATTTTAAAATTTAGGCCACCTCATGCTTTCGTTCAGATGCCGAAAACTGTCAAGAACTGACCATGGTACATAGCAGTGCTAAAACGGGACAAGAACAGCTTCGAGTGGGGAGGAAAAAAGGGACGGGGCTGGAACCTGAGCTGTGTCCATAACGCTTCCATTGCCAGTGCAGGGATATATTCAGCATGCAAGCAACCTTTGGAAATAGGCATCGTCCCGGGATACAAAACGTGCAGCAGTTCCTTGAGCCGCATGTCAAGCATCAAAAGCACAATAAACATTTTTGTTTGAGACGCCGTGTGGCTGCCATAGCCATGTCATTCCAGGTAGGGAGTACCTGTACCAGTACCAGTACCTGTACCAGAGTACCAGGCACCTATGTACCAATCACATATGAATATGAACGACACTGCTTTGTTGCGTCAGCGGAGAAGGAGCATCTGTTGATATGGGATAGGGAACGAACGTGAGCTAACCTCATTTCCTTTAATGCACTGCCGTAGGGCTGAGTGTTAAATGCTGTGCATCCCGTAAGTGTTGCCCGGAGTTGTTAGGACACCTGCATCCAGTCCCCGCGCATGAAGCTGTACTCACTTCATGCTGTCGTTTCTTTAGCCTTTGTGCGATATCGCATAAGATTGTTTATATAATTATCATCGTGGCAAGGCACAAACGTACTCTCAATTATCAACTGCAGCAATAATTATTTTGACCAGCGTGAACGTAAAGCAAGGTAGCATTTCCGTCACGCACGACGGCTTTTAATTCAGTAGCATTCATTTTCTTCACGTCTCCTTCTTGAAAATCTTTCATGTTATTTCTTCGGAGCGGCGGACCAATCATCAGCCTGCTCGGCATTGTTTTCTTAGAACCGGAGCGAATCTCCCAGTTCAAGGTTGACTAGATCAAGATGCTACGATGATCAAGGCGATCAAGATGTTTGATCAAGATGGTTTAGCAAAATTTTACTATTTAATACGATGTGTGAATCCAGAAAATGCTCCCCAATCAGCACAGATTCTGCTAATAACAGGTGCGAAAAGTACATCATTTAAATTTTCGGCATCCCGCAAACAGCTGCAAAACCCCATGGGGCTTTTGCAGCTGTTTACGCCGGATTTTGCGAACCCCTAGTCTACAAAATTCCGGCATAGAAAATCAGGGTAAAAACATCACTTACCGCGTATCATCCACCACGAACACTGTCCGAGCTCTAGGAACGTGCACAAGCTAAAAATGGCAATTTAAACGGGTTCCATGATGAAATTTGTACGTTCAGCCCGGGGCAAAGATTTCGAATGTGCAGCGATTCAACATCTGAAGGTCCGCATTGTCTTTAAGCGTAACTAAGTCGTTTTTATGTCGGCACGTGTTGCGCTGTGCTTCATTGCACGTCGCCCCACCATGTGGATCACTCTGTGGTGCGTATGCTTTGTAGACGCGGCATTCTGTCTCCAGGGTGTTCATTAAATCAGTCAATTTAAATCTGTCAATACCAGGTTTGTTTCTACTACATAGGATATTCCTGGGCAAAGGGTACAAGACATCTCGTCCACACTTTTCCACGTGCCCTTTTTCCGTCCACCGCATATGTATGGCAAGCGCTACTCAGTCTGCTGGCATCAGTCAGCCTAAATCTGGGCCAACCACGGGCCGCGGTTCAGCGCGTTCAGCGGCGTGTTCAGCCCATGGCGAACATGCTGTCCAATGTTTGCATTACATCCGGCCGATGTTAGACTGGTAGGGGTCCATTGCGCTTTGGTCATCTGTACCAAAATTTGTAACACTTCAATGCACGTAAATGCATGCACGTGATGCACGCAAACTTTCAGGCATAGATCAGGTGGGGGAGGGGGGGGGGGGAGAATAAGTGCACAAGCTTGCGCACTAAATTTCCACATCGCCTATCCATCCAACCATTCAACACACGCACATTAAGCAAAATATGTGTATATTTATAACGCACGGCCCACCGATTAGCAGTAGCATCGCAAAGACGTGGGGAATTAGTGGTAAGTGAATAGGAACGTGCGAGCAACTTCCAGAGGGCAAAACAGCCGACATGGAAATGTAGAAGCACAGATAATTGTGAAGACATCGCCAGAAACCGCAGATCAGTAACAGCCTCCACCATTGGCAGTCTCATTCACTAGCCCCCGCATGGCACCACAGCTCACAGAACTGCAGCGAACAGCTTCAACACTGAGGACAATGGTTCTAGATATATAGAGCGAGGCACGTAGCCAATAACGAGCCTGGGTGTTCAGGAAACGGAACAGCCCCCAGTAGCTCTCCAAACAGAGCTGGAGCAGCATTTAACAAAACGGAGAGCCGTGAAGAGCCGCAGCGCACACGGCGGTCAGCGACACTTCAGGCGACAGCGGAACAGACCAGCGCGCTGCACCGCCGCCGTGGCGTCGACAGCTAGAACAGCGGCCAGAAACGCTGGAGAGCAATGTAGCCGCCGGAATAGCAGAGCGCAATCAGCGGCAACAGGACGTACATCCAGGGCGCGGCGTTGAGGCCGAACACGCGGCCGGTGACGGCCGGGCAGCCCTGCAGCGCCTGGCGCCACTGGGCCGGCGAGCGGGCCGGCGCCGGCTCGTCGTCGCCCGGTCCGGCGCGCGGCGAGAGCGGCGCCACCTCGTCCGCCGCCTCGTCCGTGTCCGGCGTGCCGCCCGTGGCGAAGTTGGGTCCGGTCGACACGTGGCGCAGGTGGTGCGCATGTCCCCTCCTTCGTCAGCTGGCAGCACTGAGGGCGGGATCGGCGCGTTACCGCGCACCGGCGAGGACTCCGGGTATGAGAGGCGCCATGGCTCTAGCGGAAACACACGCGTCACATAGATGGCAGCACAGTACTTAGGTGTCGCCGCATGCGACAAGTCCTTGGACCAATCTGATGGCGGTACGCTACCCATCCGCAGATGGCAGCACGGCGCACAGGAAGTGCTTTGTGCTGAATACCGCCCGTAGCAGACAGTTGGCAGTATTGCGCCCAATCACCTCCTGAAGGGAAGGAAACAGTTTCCCTTTGCACGTGAGCCACATCAACGATCAGCACGAAGAAGGTCAGAAACCCTGCTGAGGGCAGTCCACCTCGTGCGTGCATCCTCGTACTAAACATAACCACAGGTCAGAACTGGGTCCAATACCCTCGCACACGTGTCCGCCGCCGTCGCAGCAGGCGTCGGCGTCGACGGCGGTCGAAGCAGCAGACTAACCCGGTACAGGTGGTGATACACGGCTAGCGTGTAGGCCAGCATGACCGGAAGCACCCCCAGGGACTCTGTGTGCGGCTTCTTCGCGGTCAGGTCGAGGGTAATCAGGGTCACGCCCTGGCAGACCCTCAGCAGCACCAGCAGGATCACGGCGGAGACGCACGCCTGTCGCACACAGAGACGTGATCAGGATGGACACGGACACCGCGACGCCAGCGATATCGCGACGCCCCGTCCATGAGAGCCCCGTCAATGTGAACCCCGTCAATGTGAACCCCCCCGTCAATGTGAGCCCCGTCACTGTGAGCCCCGTCAATGTGAGCCCCGTCACTGTGAGCCCCGTCACTGTGAAGCCCCGTCACTGTGAGCCCCGTCACTGTGAGCCCCGTCACTGTGAGCCCCGTCACTGTGAGCCCCGTCACTGTGAGCCCCGTCACTGTGAGCCCCGTCACTGTGAGCCCCGTCACTGTGAGCCCCGTCACTGTGAGCCCCGTCACTGTGAGCCCCGTCACTGTGAGCCCCGTCACTGTGAGCCCCGTCACTGTGAGCCCCGTCACTGTGAGCCCCGTCACTGTGAGCCCCGTCACTGTGAGCCCCGTCACTGTGAGCCCCGTCACTGTGAGCCCCGTCACTGTGAGCCCCGTCACTGTGAGCCCCGTCACTGTGAGCCCCGTCACTGTGAGCCCCGTCACTGTGAGCCCCGTCAATGTGAGCCCCGTCAATGTGAGCCCCGTCAATGTGAGCCCCCGTCAATGCGAGCCCCGCCAATGTGAGCCCCGCCAATGTGAGCCCCGTCCATGTGAGCCCTGTCCATGTGAGCCCCGTCCATGTGAGCCCCGTCCATGTGATTCACGACCGCCGATGTGAACGAACGCGTAAAGTCTCGTCATTCAATGTCCAATGCATGCCAGTTGTGCATGACAAACAAGCACAATGTGGAGCGACTGAGCACTCCGAGACAACTCGCGTACATTTCAACATCCGGGACGCAAGGCTGAAACGATGAACATAAGCCGAGATGGCAAGAGAAGCGATGGCACTGTTGTTCAACGCAGCTTATAAGGCCAGTCAGCAACGCTAAACACTGACGTCCTTCCATGCAACCCTGCTGTGTGACCATATGCAGCCCCGCTGCAGCCATCTTTACTGACCTGGGACTGGATCATCAGCCGGTGGCCCTTCTGGTAGTGCGCCTTGACATAGCCATCGGCACTCAGGTGGGCCTGGTCACCCTGGCTAGCCAGGTGCGTCTGGGTCTTGCGCAAGATCAGGTCGAAGTACTTGATGGACAGAGTGTATGAGACTAGGGAGAAGAACATCATGCTGTCCATGATCAGGGTAAGGAGGAAGGTGAAGACCTCAGAGGTAACGATGACTGCTGGCTTCGGTCTGTAAGAGATGGTTATACACGTGACACGGACGCTTCGTCAGGTCTTTTCGCCCAAGATCCTCAAAACACCACTGATGCGCATTTTCTAAGCAACGGTGTCGGGACGAAATCCGGGGTAGACCACTTGCATGAACGTCTGCCCCACACGGCCGACGCACGCACCCGGATGTCACATCCGAGGTGCAGATGGACAGACGGCGCAGCCATGCGTCCGATAGAGACGCCCCAGTGTACAGCTCGCCCGCGCTCTGCCCACCGCTGACCTGGTCGGACTGGCCGACACGACCACCGGGTGGACGACGCCATCGCCGATCAGGGTGCTCGTGACGGAGAGCGCAACCACGAGCACGAACAGCATCATCATCAGGTGCCGGTCTCGCCGGCAGTACCGTATGAACAGCCCGGACACGGCCGCGTACTCCATGTTGTCAGTCATAGTGAAGAACACCTGGCGGACGCAGCAGAAGCTCGGATTACGTGACATGCGGCGTATCCCTCCGAAAGCGAGATTAGCCGATCAAATACGGGTTGTTCGCTGTGTGCACCACACGAGGCGGTGGGAAGCAGTGACATGACCTAGGCAACGCCGCCAAACAAGTCAGCCGGTCGCGGTGTTCAAACCAGTGTCCTTCACAGGTTCCGTTATCCAGTCCACCAATTCACGCATGGGGTAGCAGTGCCCATACCCTGCCCATACCCACATGCCACCCATCCGCAATAGGCTGTGCCCACCACTTTCCAGCCAAATAGCGTTTTTCCAGCATTCTAGTTCAGACCCATTGCCGGCAGGGAAATACACGCAGGTGGTGATTGCAGCAGTCATGAGTAAAGGAAGCGTAAGCGGTGACATTATGTAGTTCTTAAAAGGATGGACCTCCCATCACGTTAATTGTTACCCATAAATATACATAAGGGTGAATAGGCCCGTACCCATACCCGTAGTATTACAAATATGTACCAACCCAGCCAGTTACCCGCTTCACCCGGGCGCTCATCTGCCTACCCAGCCGGTGGAGTTCTCCAGTCCGAAACGGTTGGATGCGCTAGATGGCATTGCGTAATGCAATACGCACTGACAGCGTCGGGCGCGATTCCTCATGGGTACCATTAGTCGAGCACAATGAACCTGCGGTCGGAGCGTCCATTTGCGGCAGACATGCCCACACGTTTCCGGTGAAAACGTCACGGGGTTCTGGAAGAAGTGAGTCACCTCTCCCACGATTTGGATCAAGTCCGGCTGCTTGATGCAAAACCAGCAGACGAAGACAGAGATGTAGCCGAGGATGTAGATCAGCCGCGGCAGCAGATACGTCCAGATGAAGGAGTGCTCGCAGACATACTCGGTCGTCGTGTTGTGTGCGTGTGGAGGCGGCACCAGGTGCCCCAGGTAAGATCTGGTCACATACGGAACAAATGACTCATTTATGAGCACCACCCACCGCTCGGTGTCTGGAACATTGGCAGGGTCATTCATGCCATTTCACTTACCCTTATAACACATTATCGTAGCCGGCCTGTATAAAAACAACCCAGGCTAAAATGACAGGACAGGTCACAATTATTTAGTTCAGAATCCCTACCAGGCAGACGCCAGGCTAGGCGGGGACGGGGGGGGGGGGGGGGGGGCACCGCCCGCGCACTCACGGCTGGCAGCGCGCCCACTGCAGCCCGATGCTGCCCAGCGACATAAGCAGGAACGCCAGCATCCAGACGGCTGGGCAGAACCGGCGCAGCGCGCTCGGCTTGGGCGGCACGCGCTCGGTGACTGGCGGCAGGCTCGCGCACGCCGCCAGGCCCAGCAGCCGCTTCCACGCGTGCAGCAGCAGGCGCAGCGCCTGCGCCTCGGCCTCCAGCGGGTCCGGTGCAGCAGCCCGGCCAGCCTGCCGCCAGGGCCGCACAGTCAGTCAGGCGGACGGCGGCCAGGGGGGAGCGGTGGCGCGGCATTGTTGAATGGGTCGAATGGATGCCAAGTGTCTAGGGCTGCGGGCAAACTATGGTAGTTTGAGCACTGTGCATGTATGCTCTCTTGGAGATGATTTTAACAGCTGTGTGCTATAATGCCAGTAAAAATACAAACCTTTTACAGTGGGACGAAAGAGATAAGTCATGGCTAACATATCATAGTTGAGACACCGAAGACAGTAGCGAATTGGCCCATCGCATATGATAACCGATACGAACTGAATTATCAATGTTTTTCAATATCCTTTCGAGTTTTCAGATGCAGGGGCACATATGTTTAGCGTCCGCACACGTGCTTACAAACGATATTGGAAAAATATTGGCCGCCTTTGGCCATGGCAATGCATGTCAACCAACTAATGAATCGGACGGACCTTGGAACTGGTAACCGCGCAGAGAGTCATGGGAAACATGCTTATATTCTGGTTGGATATTAATCAAAGCAGGCTGGGCTTATGCAATGTCCAGTTTAATGGTTTGAACTATCTTTGTATACTTGCTTGCTGCTTGCGTATTACATGCGCACCAGTGGGTTGTTCAGTGTTAAGATCGCCGATGATTTGTTGACTGTGCGTTCGTAGAGAAGTACAGCTGTTACAGCTTTATTCAATCGTTCTTTTAACCTTCAGGGCTACACCACTACCAGTTGTCAGGCAGGCGAGTCGTGCCGCTGAGGCTACGGCAGCTCTGATTTGGTGGCTTTTTACTTGCCGACCATTCAGCCTCGCTTGTAATCTGGGTTGGATTTGCGCTGCATTGGGTACTCAATGGCGAAAGATAACATCCCGCAGACACATATTTACTTCCAAGCACGCGTCATATAGACGTTTGAAGCTTTGACTGGATGCGTGGCATGCTGTTCTGTCAGAGGTGCTAAAATTGCAGTTAGTACGAAAGATCAAGGAAAACGCGAAGTTAAGCTAAGCAAAGCACGGGAGTCTAAACTTTTTAACTAAAACCCAGTTCAGCGCTCCGAGTACGCGCAAATCGTAACGCAACATCGCGTGATTTCTGATCAGCTTAGTATCACGAGTGCATCTCTTTACTGTGCATCTTTCTACTTTTACTTTTTACCGAGTGCATTTGTTTACTGTCGACATGTACACACATAATGCATGCACGAATTCCATGAGACGTGGAGGGAGAGGTACGCACGTGCCCTGAAGACTATGCGCGAATACACCACAAGTTATAGCAGGAGACAGACAAATGTCTGCCAGTGGAGCCAAACGGCCGTTCTTTGCTATCGACGGCCTGGACTGGGCTGCCACAATTTTTATAAGCTTTGTCCATTGCACGCCTTCCGACTTGGCAAGGTTTCAAGACATTAACAAAAAAAAAAAAAAAAACGTGCGGTAGTTTGCTCCCAATGTAGCCTAGCGAACCACGTGTTAGCATACGGTGTCAAGTGGACCAAAATGATGTAAAACAAAAATCCAAGCAGAATGTGCTTCAAGTACAGGGAACCTTTTTTAGAGGCCGGAAAGCGTTTGGCGACAAATTTCAGGTTTAAAACCTTTGGTGAAAATACATGAAACCACAAAAAGTCTCCAACCGCAAGCGCAATTCCAGTTCAGTCATAGGAAGATTTACGTAGCCAGAGATGACCATTTGACCCCATCAGTACAGGTCAAGCCAGATATTGCTGGACTTCACCCATCACGGTATCCCCTGGTCCACTTTGTTTCCTGGCATGAACCCTCGCATGCGCTAAATGTCGAGCGGTTGCCTCCATGCGTCACCGGCGAGAGAACGCAGCCTCTCCTTCATCCAGCGCAGTAGAAATCCTTAAGATGTTAGTCTTACATCGATGGCAACGTCTACGCATCGATGTCCAGAGGGTCAGTCCATTGCAACAGGGACAACGGAAGGTAGAAAGAACACGAGCCCAAGCCGAACAGCGGGCGGTATCTCGGCTCGACGGAGCCTGCGGCGGCCACCGACTCACCAGTCGGGGCCGGGCCGCGTCCAGGCGCCGGATCAAGTACTCCCGCGGGGTCTCCCTATGGGGCCTCTCGCTCTGCCCCGCCGGGCTGCGCGAACCGTGCTCCGGCCGCGGCGTGGACGAGGAGGAGGGCGCCGCCACAATGCTGTCCTCGTCCTCGGCGACCACCGCCGCCGCCGCAACGTGCGGCTCCTTCACAAGCCGTGCCGCGTCGTCCGTGTCCTCCTCCCATGGGAATTTGTCCTGGCGGTCAGAGCCCTGAGGACTGGCGTTGGGGTCGGCGGCGTCGGCGGCGGCACCCCCAGCCGCATCCGTCTCCTGATCCGCCGGCTCTATCTCGACCTGAACGCTCAGTGGCGCCGGCGGCGGGTCGCCGCCTCCGGCGGACCCGTCCGGATCACGCGCGGTCGCACTCTCGTCTCGGGCCGCGACGAAAGCATGCTCGCAGGCGGTGGGCGTGTCCAGCTCTTCCCAGTCGCCGGGCGTGCTGTCCTGCGGGCAGCGGGACGCCGTCAGAGCCGACGTGCCGGGCCGGGTCACCCCGCCGGGTCACCGTCCGTCCCAAGGCACAGCGTGGCAGAAGAGCAGCTCTTCGACAGCCAGACCTCGGGCTTCGGGGCCGCCAGACTTGTGCTAGTCTTGGACCAGCTGTGGCAAGACGCTTTATGGTCGTCGTCAATGGCAGAACTTGTTTGCATAGCCACGACGCCGCTCAGACAGCCGTGACGGGGCTGAGCAATCTGTATCAAACGTCTGCCAGATAGTCCAATCTCGGCCTTCCTCTGTCCGGAGTCACGGGTTTCCTGGAGCTCAGCACGTCCAAAGGACACCGGTCTTTGGAACATGTGACAGATGCACTTGGTACGGCCGGCCTGGTGTTTCAAGCAAAGCAGAGCCTACGGCAGCTATCGTATTTCTGTTGCAAGGCTGTCTGTGCAAAGGAGGGGGAAAATGGGATGGAGGCGTCTAATGACGAACTAGCGCGCTCGGCCAGTGGGTGCCAAGTGCCAAGGATCAACATGTCATCGGCTGAAATGTTTTGAGACTGGTCAGAATGATGGTGCACATTCACACATTTCGCAAAGCCAAACATAAGATAAATTTCTTAGGTGCTTTAGTCAATAGCGTGCTTTTTTAATTCCATGATTATGATGGTGATAAGTTTTCGTGTACCCATACTCCCGCGGAACAATCTGTTTAGAGCGTTTGCCTCATAAGTCACCCGTGGTTGGATACGGACAAGAGTGCTCCAGTGAGCGGGCTAAAGGGCTCGAAGTGCTCGCTGTGCTGTTTACCCCCGACTAGATGGCTTGCGGCTGGCGACAAAGACCGCTGAGGTCAGGCAAGGTCAAGGAGCGGGGCGGACTACGCCGAGCATGGCACCATGCCCAAATTTACTCAAGAATCTTCCGTTCAATTGGAAAGCGCAGCGTAAACCACACGCGCGCATCTTGCATGTTTGGCGAGAACCATAGGCTACACCAATCACTGTCCTGTGGCGTGTTGTATCTTGATCAGAGTAGCATATCTGTACCCCCCGTAATATTTGCTTCGCTCGAAATGTCGAGCGGTGTGCCAGCCCCGAACTATTCCGCTACCAGCCATCTGACCCTTCATAAACCCCTACTCGGTTTGATGTCTCCCAAATCCCCACTCTCTTATAGCTTCTTGGCACTGCTCAACATTCTCGCATAGCGACTCCTGTTTTTCACCACGTCACAGCTTAACTATCCCACGCATTTCGACGGCACAAGGCCAGTCACACGTGGTTGATGCCCTGCTACAAGTACAGACAAAACACCAGCGCAATGGAATCAGACGTACTCAGCGCAGTGACTGCACCAGCCGCAGCGTACCGCGATGCCTTTCATATGAAAGCTTCATTTCAGGAGTTGGCAAACATCGCCTTCCTGTCTTGCTGCATGAAAACAACGTATGAACAGCTAAATAGACATCTCCAGTCATGTCGGTCAAAGTCAGAGTCATGAGTGAGCTAGTCATGAGTCATGAGTGTCAGATCCAGCCAGTTAAGTCATGCGGGCCCAGAAACCGACCAGACACGGTCTGCGACATGCTAATATGACGTGCTGAACAACTGCGGCAGATAAATGCGAGAACAAGGTCTGGGTAAACGCGCTATCGGGGATAGTGGGAAACCGAAATGAAGGAACGCTAGCGACAAGTTGACTTGGCTGAACGGCAGAGACTGTCACCGAAAGTGCACGTGACTGGCTGCCCCATAGAGCGACACGGTCCAGGCGGTAAGTGCCGGCTTCGAGCCGTCCCAGACAGTACAGAGGATCCCCTGTCCTTGACAGGATAGAGGATCACCTGCCCCAGACAGGATAAGGGATCGCCTGTCCCATACAGGGTAAGGGACCACCTGTCCCAGACACGATAAGGGATCATCTGCCCCAGACACGATAGGGGACCAACTGTCCCAAACAGGACAGAGTCCTATCCCAGACAGTACGGAGAGTCTGTCACCAGTGTTCCGTCCTCAGTTTGTCATCAGTCATATTTACCAGAGTCTGGCTGCGCCACTGACCTGCGGGCTGGCGGCGGCACTCAGGTGCCGCTCTCGGGGAGGAGGGGCCTCCTGGATCTCATCATGCCGAGCAGCCTCCTCGTCGGACATAATCGAAGTTCTGGAGAAAGCGCGGGGCTAAGTCGGTGTGGAACAAGGTCGCCATGGCGAACCTTCATATGAATGTTTTTCCTATCGCAGCGAGGTTAAGACGTCTACACATACAGAGAAAGTGAACGATTCGGCCATACTAATACCAAATTTGAGTTTGAACTACTCGCTTACCATTATTCATCAGTTAAGTTCATTATATTTGCAGGCCTCGCTCACGCCTTATGACAGAAGCAGCCTCTGGCCGGTAACCAGGCTCGAACCAGAAAACTGTACCCCCAAACCATCAAAACTGTACACAAACAAGACCAAACTGACCAGTATACGACCTTGCGTTGAACGCTCTCGACTGAGCTACGGGGGCTGATTGGGCCCTGGGACAATGCGGGCACTCTATCGGCCAATACAGGGCAAATCAGTACCGAAGGCCATAAAAATCTCAATCAACACCAAACAGTCGGCCCAGTGTAGAGCTGCGAGCCCATTTCCGCCAAGCGGGGACCAGGTGGGACCTGGACTGTCAGAAGACTTCTTGCACCGGTGGGGCCCCTGTATTGGTCAGCGGGCCAGCCAATGTCGGGATCCTTTGCCGTCAAGTGGCCTTGAGCCAGCCAGGAAACATTTTCTCTCGAACAGGACCAGGGGTGGGTTCACACATGTTTCAGAAGGCTTCTTCCGTTCGTTTGCCCGGCGAAAGAAATCATGCATGGCGAAATGGTCCTCAAAAGTCATGATAGGATACTATTCCGGTCAGAGGACCCCCGCGTCAGGGGGGGGGGGGCTAATGGCTAAAGTATGGTTTATCCCACAGAGGAGCCTGGGTTGACCAAGGAGCCTGTTCCCTCCCCCCCCCCCCCCGCCCTCTCTCCCCACGTCGCCTAGTAACTGTTGGTGCCGTAACTGGCTAAGACGGAAATGCCCGTTAGCCGTGACTGGATCGCATGCCCCCCCCCCCCCAAAGGAGGGGTATGGGATCCAGTGGGCCAATTGTTCTACTCACCGGCTCTGTCCAGGAAGTGCTTTCAAACGCTTCAGTTTTCAAGAAAGACCGAATTAGTCATCCACGGGACCACTTAATGGACGTTGGCATGAATGGGTAAAAAGGAAGTTGGAGTCTGCTCGAAAACGCGACAATTCCGGCTATTTCTGAAAGAAAGTTGCAGGGAGGGAGCGCTTCACAAACCTCTGTACCCCCTCCCCCTCACTCCTAACCAGGACCAGCTGTGCTCAGAGAATATCCAAAACCAGACTGATCACAGTTCTAAGCACGCATACAATGAGACGGCCTCCCAACACCAGCGGGCCGGCAGGAGCCGAGACGCTCCTCCACTCACTCTGTGTCGTCCGCTCCGAACCAGTCCAGCGGCGGGTACCAGTCCAGCCGCGAGCTCCACTCAAGGACACCGCCGCCCGCGCCCGGTCCACCGCGAGTGCCGCGGGCACCGGCCGGACCCCGGCCAGGTCAGCAGCAGCCCGCGGCGCGCTCGGCAGCGCGCCCCTGCAGGTCGGCTGCGCCGCATGGCCCGCCGCCCGCCGCCGGCGGCGCTGGTGGTCCGCTCGCTGGCCAGCCGGTTAAAAAGGGACCTGGCGTTATTTCGAAGCAGGCGACGTGAAGAATTAGTCCAACGGATCGGAAGTAGGTCAGTGTGAAGAAGTAGCGATGTGTGAGTAAGTTTAAAGGAAGCTGACATTGTTTCGAGGCCGGTAACGTAAGGAATTGGATACGTCTATGGGATATGTATGGGATAGGTCTATGGGGTAGGTCTATGGGTAAGAAATATATCAATGTTAAGAAATAACGTTATGCCACCGCGCGCTTTTCATATTGCTATAGCCTGCGATCTGCCAGCTGTTAAGTTAGCGTCCATAACCTGGGCGTTGATGTAGGAAGTCTAGCTGTTCATACTGGTCGTATTTTATGTGCTATGTCGTCTGACAATGAGTTTTGCGCAAGATGCACCTATTTAGTTAATTTAAATTGTCTTGATTGTGTTGTTGGATTATGCACGAATGTACCGATCCAAATCACTGCTGCGGTCAAAATTCCATATCTCTCACGCTAGTAATCGCTTTGGGCTTAGTTTACTTTTAAGAGTAAATTGTGATTTAACTCGGTTCTCCGAGCTGTACTCACCTAACTACTTATGTGAAACAATACGCGAAACACACAACATATATGCCTAGAAATGTAGTAGATAAAACTAGGCTTAAACGGCCCTCTGGTAATTGACTACCTTAACAAGCACCAAGAACATGCAAAGTGTATAAGCGGCAATAGATCGCAGCTAACACATATCTCAAGTGGTAGAAGTGACATCAGGATATCAATTACCGCAGACCTGGAGTGCCCGCAATAAATAGTAACTTAGTTTTGGGCCTTACCAAACTTGACCACTGGGTCATGTATTCATACAAATGGATTGCCAGAAATGAATTCAAGCGCATCATGGCGCCCACTGCCTAGAACGACCGAGTTACGGCTTAAAGACGATTCCCACATACCAATTCGCAAACTATGAAATCAAAACTTGTAAAGCTTTTCTAAGCTGCGAGAAGTAGCAGGTAAAGAAAGGCTTACAGATACTTTTTATGGAAGAGAATGAAAATTAACTGAAGTCGGAACGTGCAAAACGAAAGCACCCATAGAAATGGTAGTAGTGAAAATGTTTACGACAAATTGTGTTCCGACTCATAGGATATGTGGTGATGCTATTCTCTAACGCTTGTGAAGACAGCACCATTTGCATCCAAGCCATTTGTATGCAAATCCTTTCCTCTTTTACAATCTGACAAGCAAAAGTGCATTTAAAATCTTCTAAAAGCTCAACGACTGCTCCAAACAACGCAGACAAGACAATTCCTACCTTTGAAATGGTTTGTGTCGCGAGTTGAACTAAGTTTATGACCTCTTATCGCAAAAATCAAAATCACATACCGATCTGGCTCTAAATGCAGAATGTATGGATGTGAGAAGATGATAAAGAGATAAAATGGAAAGAAGAAACATTTTGGCTATTTGAGCCTAACCAATCTTCTGGGAGGTAAAACTGAATGTTATAGGATGTTTGATTGATGGATATTCTGGGGGGGGAGGGGTAGGGATGGATGTAGTTGTAAGAGTGGATGTTCTTGTTTACTTGCAATGAGCACAAGAAGGGACATTTTTCCGGTAAAAGCCACATATTCCTAGAAAAACATTTCGACATTGTCCAATGCATTTCTTTAGCAATCACAAATATGTTTATCGCTGGTCTCGACGTTTCACTTATAGCAGACGACACGGTTTCACAGCTCATTGAGGCCAGCACCCGCCGCGCTTAGATAATGGCTTTACGGAAGCGGAGTCTTGTAAATATGCTCATTTTAAGCATTCAACATTTAAAACAAAAATAGCGACAATAACAAAAGATGACCAGATAGTCTACTTCACTTCTGCACTCGATATCCACTACGATATCCTATGTAGCTATGTTCGAGTCGCCGAGGCATGCACATAAAAATGACTCCAAAGCTCCATCCAGACAATGTTCCCGCCCCGACCGCTTTTAAATGGCTGGCCATCCGCCTCATCCCCCCCTCCCCCCTCCCCCCAGATTTAATGCAGCTCGCCGTGCCAGTATAGACACGTCGCCGCCCTCAGATGAGCGCGTGCAGCCGGGAAAGGATTCTGGTGTCCTTTTATAGATGATACGCTTATGCTTCCCTAGAGCAGCTGGAAAAATGTCCCCACATTGTGTCTCCACTGCCTGGCTAGTGGTACGCAAAAGGTTAGGCTGGTACTCATACGAGCCACACAGTGATGCTACTGTCAGACCGGCAAAAAGGGCAGGGAAGGAGTTTTGCTGAAAGCTTCTCTTTCATCTTGATGAGTCTGGAAAGCTCGTGCTATGGGGCGAGGAAAAATTGTTTGTTTAAGCAAGGCACCAAACAGACTAAATAAACAATTCTGCGCTCCTCATCACCTAGACGTCGTGGAGGAATGCAAGGTCCAGGAAGGTCAGAAGGTAATGCGCTGGATAGGTGTGCTTCACGGCAGGATAATCATCTGCTGGTCTGTGACGACGATGTGTACTTGGACATAATGGCACCGGTCACGTGAGACCAGTTGAGCTTGCTCTGGTGAACATACCCCATTAGTGTTTCCCCGTGACTCTTTTACTGTACATAAATTGTTCAATGGTGACGCCTCCTGACCGCATTGTGGCATAAACGCACATTGTCTTATAATTCAAGCGTAGTAGGTTGAGGTACGCATATATGGTAGTGACATAACACCAATGAGTGGCAACAAAGTAAAGATATGTCGCGCATAAACATAAGCTTCTAATGAAAATATGCCCTTTTGCTCATTATGAACTACTTGAAACACATTCATATCGAAACACCCAGTAGCTATAAGGGGTAGAGGTTGAAATATAGTGCCAACGCATATTAGCACGGTGAGATTCGGGCTGCTCACTTTATCTACGTGCCGGTAGTCACTAGTTACTACAGCTGGAGACACAATTCAATTACAGTTCACATTAAATAATCCACCCACAATTTGCATTACATATGTCTACAACCTTTTATATCGGATGAATGCACTACACTGCGCACAACGTGCATAGATCAAGTGCGTAAGTAAAGCAAAGTATAGCGGTCAAGGACGGCGCTAGATCCAGCTTTAAAATATCCCTTTACCTCACCATGCAGCCTGTGCGACACTTTAGGTAGAGAAGCACATTACTTGATTATTTTATGAGATGTCATCAGATCAAATGCAGTAATGGAGCTGCTGTCGGGAGTGGTACATGCCTACGCGCAATGCAAATCAAGAGGGTGCAGGTCTAATGCATACTGCCGTTTTCCAGGGCGTACACATATCAACACAAGACCCATTGGGTTCATGTGATGTCTCCAATGTCGATGCATACCAGAAAGCAAGTTGAATTACACCAGATGGCTATCTCTCATTTGATCCACATCCTAAATTTCGTGAGACAAACACTGCAGTTCTTTTCCACCACACCCCTATGGAAAAAACCCACCCATACACATATTTCTGGGAGTGCAAGAACGCTTAAGCTGCAGGCAAATGTCAAGTACGAGCCTTGCGGCAGTTGTCAGAACAACCTCGCAGCATTCCTGATTAATTGCGATCATGACGAATTCTCAACAGCTGGCACCCAGTACAGAGACTCCAGGTCAAGACCAGAAGGACGTGAGGGCCGACATGCAAAGAAACGCTCGTCGTGCATGTCTGCGTTTGGTCCGGTAACTTAAGTCTTAAGAAAGGCAGGGCTGTGAACCGCACCGAAAGGCTATCAAGATGGCTATTTCATTAAAAAAAAACATATAAATGTGGAGCACTCCCTTTAAAGGTGGTGTTCCACATTTGTATAAAGTTTTGAACTGCGATTGTCATTCTGAAGGTCGTTCAGTGCAGCTCACAGCCATGCTCTTTTTCAGTTTTAAAGCCCTCTTGTTTCTGAGCTTGACGCCCGTAAATTTGTGCAAACGTTTTCGTGCAGACTATTTCAAAGTCGTCCAGACATGCATGACGTCATAGAAATGTCACGCGAATGCCCCACCTCGTTGGCCATGTAGTGCTCAAGGTCAAGACACATATGATCATCAAACGACTCGTGTTTGGCGTACAGCAGCGTGGTTGGTGACGTCAACGGACATTAGCTGGCTTTCGACCAACTCGCTGCGTTGAGTTCATGTTTCAAATACGAATCACGTTTTGTGCCAAATAATACATGAGATTGGGCAGTGGTTAACGTTATGATGGAAATTATGCTGAGAATTGAGTAAGAATAGAAAATGTGGATCGAATTAGGTATTGCATCATAACCTAGCATTTGAATCCAGGTAAACAATACACAATTGCAGACAGTATAACAGAACACCACGAGAAAGGGTCAAAACACGAGCAATAAGGATGTTTGGATTCAGCAAATGGGCACCAGCAAACATCCCCACCTCTCGGCAACTTGGAGTACTACAAGTGAGCCAGCCAGTCCGTTACCGTGGCAATTTTGACGCGGCCAGTCTGACAACGAATCTGACGTCATGAAAACGTCCGATGCCGTAATCAAATGATGATATGGTGAGGAACATAATCGCTAATAAACTGTTTTCACCGTGGGTTAATGCAATGACAAATTCTTAAAAAGTTTTTAAATGTTTCTGGGAAGTCTTAGCGCACACCAAGTTCTCTGGAAAGGAAAACATTGCTTCCATGCAATTCAATTAATATGTAGTAGGTGAATCACGTATTTCTAACTAATAATAAGTTACAATGAACGAAATATTTGATATACATTTATTCAGCTCACAAGCCTAAGTTAACCTGAATTCTAGAAAAAAGCACTATGTCCTGTCAATTAGAAACGTGAATCCGTCGAGGGGTTGGACCACTGGCTGCACGACT